AATGGACCTGATTATCTAATCACTTCCATCACTTTCTAGCCTAGCGACTTCAGTGAACTTATTATTCTTACACAAAGGGGAAACTGAGCCAGACCCAACAGCTACCTTCCCTGTAGAACACATCACCCTCTCTCCCAACACATGGAAGTAGCATAGGGTTTTCTACCGTGTCCTAGATTTCTAGCTCTGATAAATTGGGATGACATAGGGATGGTCCTGCTTTGAGGAGGGGGTTGGACTAGATGACCTCCTGAGGTCCCTTCCAACCCTCATTTTCTATGATTCTATGAATTAAAGCTCCATCCTCCTTTCAACCATCATTCCTCTCCTAAAACTGCAAACCTGGTCTCAGTCACTGGGTGCACATACATACATACATACATATATATATATATATATATATATATTCACTAAGAAATAGGTTGAGAATACTGACTAAAGATCACATATGTTAGTGAACAGCCATCTTTTCACATGCCCAGTCCTTGGCTGGACCTGCTGACCTGATTTTCATTTACTGGAGCATCTTCCAAGATTAGCAAGTTCTGACTTTAAAATGTGGGTCACTTACCTTTCTTGCTCTACTCCATTTGTTTCCTTGGGAGGCACTGAGTCCAGGGAACAGGCATGGAGATAAAAAGGAATGTTTTATTTCTTGCTGGCTCAAAGTAAAACACATTACTCAATATTCAATAGATGATTCAGCTTTTGCCAAAGTCCTAAGAATGAATGAGTCATGACCCAGAAAAAACATTTAAAAGGTTCCTTCTCTCTAAAGCATGTTTCCAAAATATACCGTGCATGTCTTTTGGGAAGGCAGGATATGTTTGGGAACATGCATGTGTGTGCGCATAAAAAAAAACAACCCCCCCCCAAACACTTTAGTTCCCTATTTTTACCTGAGAATACCTGATATGTTTTTCTGCGTTGCATGCAGAAACAATTTGCTCAAGAAACCCTGATATCAACTGTTTGTGTCGCACACTTTTAGGGGAAAGAACAACTTTGCTCTTTTCTGTGCATCACTTGAGAAAGGCCCAGTAATTTTTCAAAAAGCTTGCAGAAATTAGGAGGCAGGGGGAAGTAAAGAATTTTGGCTATCCTGTGAGAACAGCACCACCTTGTGGCCATTACCAGAACTCAAACATAAAAGACCAACAGAACCATGTTAAGGACAGGGAGTAATAAGCTTTCAAGCTGCACCTATATATAGATTGTCACAATACCATTATAGTGCAGTCCAGCTCTGAAAGAAAATGTTGCAGCATAGCATTGTGGGTTCGTTTTCAGTGTCCCATAATGACATGCTTAAAATGCTCAACTTGCAGTTAAAATAGATTACTAGCTACAAACAGCAAATTCACCCTGAGCTCTGAAAGAAGATGCATTCTCCACTCCTCCTAATAACAAAGGCTCTGCATCCCCAAATGACAACTTTGCAACTGTGTTGTCTATAAGTTATGCTTTCCTATGGAACCCCATTGCTATTAGTAGGTTTGCATAGTTGTGATGGATTGGAACTTGGTGGGTAGCCTTATGGTTGAAGCATAAGGTAAAAGCCTCAGGCCACTCAATCTCAGCTGCATTGGCTCTTCAGGGCTACTGGGAATAACAAGCAATAGAAATACGCAGTGGTTATTCAAGCTCTCTGTCCCCCCATATATTGTTGTTCCTCAGCCACCTAATTTCCTGTTCCACCAGTACGTTATCAATTTACTTCCAAGCAGGTAAGCATCCTTATGAACCTGATTAATTCTCACAGCTAAAGGGAACATCTATCCCTTGGCACCAGAGAATTACATGTTTGAGGCCAACCTGATTTATCCATTCCAATAAAAGTTTGTAGAAGTTATGGGCTTAAAGTAGAAATTACTCAGTGAAGTTCTGTGGTTCATTAGGCAGGAGACTAGATTGAATGATTACAATGGTGCCTTCTGACCTTTAACATCTATGAATCCATGAAAATAAAGCGACAATGGCAAAGCACAGTGGGCTTGTGACTTTTTGCAGAGAAAAAATGAAGAGCACCCAGTCATACTGGTGATTAGATAATTGATGCATGAAATAAGTATCTGGCAACCTGCATTTGCCTAGGTATATTCCAGGATACCCTTTGGTACAGATGTTGAATCCTCTCTATTCTCGTCATGTGTTGCTATTTTTGCTGTATAAGAGCGTTTTGATCAAGTACTAGGGCTTTCCATCTCTCTTTACAATAACCTGATACCTATACAAAATGGCCCAAACCCCTGCAAGAGGTTAGTGTATTAGGGACCCTTAAGTTTGGATTCTTCCCTACCCTTAGGAGATGCCTTAACAGCCACATAAATCACTACCCACTCAGAGAAAAACAAACAAACAAACAAAAAACGTACGCAAGCTTTTTTCTGAGTGGTTTTTATTTACCTCTTGTACTCAATGATGTTGTACTAGGGTTTTCCTTAATCATTGTGATGGCCCAAAACATTTACTAAGAATAGCAGTCTGGCATGAAGTCTCACTCCCTTCACCCTTCATTTGAAAAACATGCTCAGCAGCTTTACTGCAATCTTATCTCCCTGATTTTTTAAATCACTGAAGTGGCCTTTTTCCTTGTCCAGACAACTCCACCAGGTGACCTGCTTCTTAATACTACACAATAAAATGTTTTGTTCCCAAGAGCAATGTTCCTGGTGCCTTGAGATTACAATGAATTTACTGAAGGTCACCCAAACAGCATCATCTTCAAGGATTAGAAATGAAAGCAGTTCACATTTACTGGTAATTCCTGAGCAGGTGAAAACAAGCAGAAAGTACACAGTACTCCTTCTCTATACTTCAACTCCTCTTCCAAAGTTTGAGTTTCTCTAATTTCAGGAAAAAGAATTACCTGTCAGTCTTTTCTTACACAAAATTGCTTACAATGAACCTCGCATTGCCTGATCTGGTTTAACCATTGTGCCTGCAAACCTCATTTCTAGGCAGAACTCAAGTAGTCCTGGAAAGAAAAAAATAAATAAATAAATAAATAACAGGTTTATTTTTCTAAATAAGTCTGAATTTTTATTTGTTACCCTAGTAAAAAAAAAACAAAAACCCCCAAAAACAAAAGTTTGGATTACAAGTGTATGAACAGTATAAAAAAAAAGTACAAAAGTTTCCATATATTTCTAATACATTAATACAAAGTGCATGACTACATACAGTTCATCTTGCATTACTACAGAGAAAGGAAGAAGTGGAAAGGAGCAAGGGGAAGCAGTTGGTGGCTGAAATCTAGCAATAAATAAATAAATACAGAAGATGTAGAGATGATTGATATTAGAGCACATCCTACCACCAGTACTGCAGCCATGAGCAAAAGGAATCACTGACACTTAAAACACAAACTCAAGTGTAAATGGCACTATGTAGTTTTCCCCTCCCTTTAGAATATAAGTTAACATGTTTAAAAGAAAGCAAAACTACATTGAAAGGGCACTGTAAGGCTGTGAAAATACAAAGCTCCATTTCTCATGACATCCTGCCAACAGCTTTTGAGACACCTTAACGGAAGGAAAAAAAAAAGCTTGGTTTCTGCTTTGAAGTTGAAGGAAGGTTCATATTTAAACCTGAATCTCTTTTCCCCACTATCATTTGATCTGCTATATGCTCACCAACTAGCAAAGCCCTGCCTATCCAGATTTCATGCTGAAGACCCATAGGAAAAAATAAGAGTTTCTAGCAGTCCACTGCAGTTTCACAAAAGGATCCAAAACAGTCCAATTTCAACATTATGCAAGTTAAACCTTCATAAAAGAAACATGGAGCAAGTCAGAAGCTTAAAACTATAGCAGACTCTGAAGAAGCTGTTTGCACCCTAAAAGCAAAAGCTGTAGCACACAGGAATG